CAAAAGAAGGCTCTTGGAGGACTGTGTAAGAGCTGGCGTGAACAGCAGGAGCCCCGGTGGGGTAGTGGTTATATGTTGGGCTGCTAACTGCAAGGTCAGAAGTTCGAAACCACCAGCCACTTGATGGGTGAAAGATGGAGCTTTCTAGTCCCACAACAAGAGAGACTCTAGGAAACTCAGAGTTTCCAAGACTCCCCTGTCCTATAGGGTCGCTATGAGCAAGAATCGGCTCCATGCCGGAATTTGGTTCTGGATTTTGATTTAACAGCTATGTCACTTGGGATCAGGGACCCCCCACTGTCCCCCACCTCCCATGGAGAGCAGGTCTTCTTTGCATTTATCTCAACCCAGCTGGCTCACACGAATACTTCCCCCTCCTATCCTGCACTTGATCTCACCGTGTGACCTAGGTAGAGATAGCATACCTGCCCCGTACCTTGGTTTCCCCACTTGTAAGATAGGAATAGAACAGCACCTCTCTCCAGACCCTCTTCGGAGTTCAGAGCTGTACCAAGCACAAAGGCTGAAGCTTAAATGACAGCAACTGGATAGCAGGTGGCAGCAGAATAAAAGCAGGCCACCCGACACCTCCCGACTGCCCCAGGCCCTGCCCTGCAGCCATTGTGTGCCAGCCCCGGAGCTGCAGCACTCAGCTCAAATTGCCAACAGGTCAGCACCTAGGTGGCTTAGAACAAGGCAAAATGGTTTCTAATGTAGCAGCTGAGGCTGAGGTTAGACCTGAGGGAAACATTGGCTGGCAGGTCGCAGAAACCACAGGCAGAATCAGGGAGAAGGCTTCTAGCAGAGGAGATTTGCAAGGCAGGGTGACTGATCTTCTTCTGAGACGCTCTCCCATCCCAGAAACTGCCTGGCCCTCTGCCTTGCCCCTTGCTCTGCTGGGCTCCTACCACGTCGTCGCCTTGCCTTACCTGCCATGGCACCCGGGAGAGAGGTTCCTGACCTGCCCCTAGCAAAGGCATCAAGCTGCCTACAGTTGCAGGAGGAATGGATGATGCTTCCAGGAGGCTGGTCTATAGGGTCAAGGGTCAGAAAGCAGGGAGGCCCTCTCAGAGACCCCCGAGCTCCTTCAGTGGAGTCCCACTCTGCAAACAGCCGCTGGGTCTCCTGACTCACCCAGAGAACTCTCCCCACCCTCCCCCTCTCCCCTGAGCTTTCCCCTCCTCCCTCATCACTGGTCTGGGCAACCTAGTTGCACCTGCCCCAGCCCCCAAGGACCTGTTTATCCCATCACCTAGCAACAGCAGCAGCTCCAGGTCTGGAGTTTCCCTTTGAGACCCCAGGAAGCCAGGCTGGGGCCCCATGAGAGCCAGAAGCTGCCACGGATCAGGACAGGGCCAGAAAGCTCCCCATTCCTTTGGCCTTATTTGTCCACCTTCTTCCACCCATACCCCCCACTCCCCCACCCCTCTGCCTGACCCCACCCCATGCCTGTCATCCCCTTCCTTCTTGATGAAAGGGGTCTGTGCTGCCCCTCACCTCTTGGAACGGACTCTTTCCCTTTAATGTGAAATTGCTAATGCCATCCAGATCATCTTGTGTTCTGTAGCTCACCTGTTTTGACCGCAGTAGTCTACTCCGTGGTCTGAAGGCTGCAGCCAGCTTCTTAAAGGCTGGTTTGAGGACTGAGTCTTAGAACTGAGATATTTCACTGCTTCTTCCATTTAACAAATATGTGTTGGGTGCCTATGACACACCACGCAAAGAGCGCAAGTGGCACAAGGGTTAAACATTCAGCTGCTAATTGAAAGGTTGCTGGTTCACACCCACCCAGTGGCTAAAGACCCAGCAGCCTGTTCCCATAAACATGATGGCCCAGGAAACCCCACAAGACAGCTGTGCTCTGTCACACGGGATCACTGTATGTCAAAAATTGCCTACATGGCACCTGACAACAACACACGCAATCCACTGTAATAAGCCCCAGGGATACTCTCGTTCTTAACGTAGTCACAGTGCCCACGCCACTGGACTGTAGGTTTGGTTTTGCTTAGCTTCCATCCCTTTTGCTTGTCAAGCATGTGTGCCCTGTTTTTCTGAACAACCACGACTCAGTGGATGACCACTGAAGATATCCTAGCCCAAAGAGACTGAGGCCACGTGACTTCAGAGAGCAATAGACAGGAGCACAGAGCGAACCACCGTCCGTGGACTGTAAGCTGTGCTTTGTTTCTCCTGGACCCCAGCCTCTAACCTCTAGACGCTAGAGTCTAGAGCAACCCTAGTCCATTAAAAGTGTGTGATAGCTATTTATTTAATTAATAATAAACCAAAGAGATTTGCCCTACGTACATCACCTAAAGCAGACCCATATGCACAGGTAGACTGAAAAGAACCAGTTGATAGAGGACCGATCTACTCTGTGGATGCCCTTGTACCTCGCCAGCATACCCCTCCTCTAGTCTTTTGGATCTCAGCGAACACCTGCTTAACCGAAAGCTCAAAGGCATCCAAGCCATTGGTGATGCCTATTGCCTTTATCTTCCAAACACACCTTGAGTCTGTCTATGCCCAGCCTCCAGCTCCCTCCGTATGTCCTGCCGCCCACCTCTTGCTCACCTCCCCCCAGCCGCCTGGGCCACAAACACACCAAGCTCCTGTCACTCACCTCTATGAGGCCATAGAGGCCCTCCCTAACCATCCCAGTCCCTTCCGGCGAGCTCTGTTGGAAGTGTCCATCCAGGCACGCGCTGCCGTCCCCTTGCTTTTATCTCTGCATAGCGCCATCACTTCCTACTATTCCCGGGATGTCCGCTGAGGCTCAGGCCTCTCCCACCAGGGTGCAAACGTCTCCAGAACAGGGTCTTGCCTGGCTTGTTTGGGTGCTTCCTCCGCTCCTCTGTAAGGGTTCCTTATTCGTCTTTGATTGCACAGCTCAGGGAGCTGTGGCTGGTACAAGGCAGACTCGCAATCAGCCGCGGGCTAGTTGAATAATTCATTTGCTTCGTGTTGTCCCCACGATTGACGTCCATCCTTCGCTACCTTCGAGTTGACGGAGTTAGAAGAAACGGCTTTGTAAGGGGGCTAGCTACACGCTGATTTTGTGAGAGTTACGGTGGGTGTGTTTGTGTACAGACTCTGCAGCCACAACAACAGGGTCACTCACTTCATGCTCACAGTCCCCACAATGCTGGCCCTGCTGATGGGGGAAGAGGGACAGCTGGGAATGAGCTACCATTCACCCCTCGGAGCTCAGTTCTCTAGCAGCCATTCATTACGTCTTACCAGGAGCAGGCCTGGTGCTAAACCCTGAAGGTACCAAGGCAATCGGACGCATACAGAAGCTACACTGAAGACCTAGCCACATGCTATGGAACACAGGGGTGGAAGGAGGGAGAGATCAGGGGCTCACGTGGGAGCCAAGCGCTTCCATCAGCTGGCTCATCTAAGCCTCACAATAGCACTTTGAAACAGGCACTCTCATCCGCACTCTCACAGACGGTAATCCTGAAGGTGAACTCCGTTCACTCAGGAAGGTGAACTGTCTTGCCTAAGCCAGCTCACCGATGCTGGTGGGTCAGTTCTGACTCACGGCCACCCCATGTCTTTCCGAGTAGAACCAGTCAGTAGAAGTGGCTGGTTTTGTTGGAAGTAGATCGCCCATTCTTTCTTCCAAGGTTCCTCCGGCGTGGACGTGAAACTCAAGTTCTGGGTTAGTAACTGGAGTATGTTAACTGTTGGCCTTGCCCAAAGGTACACAGTTTGTAGCGGGCAGAACCTGTTGGACACCTGAGCCTGACTGTCTGAACCACACACCATGTAGCAGCTCATGGCTCCTTGGCCATGTCCAGAGAGCAGTGCTGACCATATCCCCCCAGCAGAGTACAGACGCAAACGGGGGAGAAAGGAAGGCAATCACACTCTTAATTACTGGGTCTGCTGTGCTCAGCTATGGGGACAAGGAGAGACCTCTCACTCAGACGGTAGAAGAGGCTGTGTGGAACATTTTCCAATTCGAGATGTGCAGGGTTCTGTGGTTCCTCCACCCACCGCAGCGGCAAGTCGTGACCTCAGCACACGGGACAGCCAAGTCCCCGGGTGGGGACGCAGACCACAAACAGGTCTGGGCTTTGAACACTCCTGCTGTTGTTGACCCAACCCGCAGATTCCAGGTCCCATTGTTGACCCAACCCGCAGATTCCAGGTCCCATGCCAGACTCCGGGAGAGAAAGACAAGGGAGGTTTCTGGGAGGCACTGAGAGCGTGGGACTTGTTCAGAGAGTGTAACCTTGGCAGTAGCTGCCCTTTAACTTCTGCCTCTCCGGAAAGATGGCAGGGAGCGTTTGATTCTATGTGGCATGTGCGCATTCAGTTCATACAGGTGGTGATTTAGGGAGGAAGCATGGTGCCCCGGTGTGTATGGGTGCATGTGTGTGACATATGACCTCACTCTCAGAAGTACCATAATAATTTTTGAAGGTTTTTGCGTTGTTTGGGTATATCAGTAAAGTATTCACATACATGTAAGTTATACAACTCTGCATTTTTATGCACATGTAGCCTACCCATGTACCTATACCCACATCATGGTAGAGAACAATTTCAGTGCTCCAAGAGCTCAGTAATGCTCCCTTCTAGTCAATCATTCCCTCTTCCACCCCACCGTGGTAACCACGACCCGACGTCTGTCACTATCGGTTCCTTTCAGCTGTCCCTAAACTCCACGTAAACGGAATCACCATATAGAGGACATGCTTGTGTCTGGTCCCTTCCTCTCATCACCATGTCTATGGGGTTCATGCATGTCATTGCATTTAACATGAGCTCACTCTTTTCTAGTGCTGAATTATATGAGTATATATATCATATGCATATCACACATAACCACTACACTCTGGTGGTGTAGTGGTTATGCGTTGGGCTGCAATCAGCATGGTCAGCAGATCGAAACCAGCAGCAGCTTCCCGGGAGAAAGACTGGGCTTTCTACTCCTATAAACAGTTATGATCTCAGAAACCCACGGGGGGCCGCTGTGAGTCAGCATGGACTCAGTGGCGGTGAGTATATTTCATATATGCTCTGTACCACAAATTATTTAACCACTCTAAGTAGCTGACATTTGCATTTTCCCAGTTTTTAGCAATTATGAATGAAGCCACTATGAACATGCACATACACGCTTTTTGCTAGACATATCATTTCTCTTGAGTATGTACTAAGAGTAGAATTGCTCATAGAATCAAAGAATAGTCATATGTTTATGTTTCACCTATTTGGGCAAGCATTTTCCAAAACATGTTTTCCACTGTACACTACCACCCAACACTTGGTATTGCCTGGTCTGGTGTCTGTGTTGAGACATCTCGCTTCGGTTTGACTTTGCACTTGCCTAATGTATACTAATAAGGTTGTCTATCTTTTGGATACTCATTGGCTCTTTGCGGAGCCCTTGTGGCATCGTGGCTACCCACTGGGCTGTGCTCCGCAGGTCAGCTGTTTGAAACCACCAGCTGTCCCACGGGAGAGAGGCGGGGCTTTCTACTTCCATTAAGAGTCGCCATCTCCGAATCTCTCAGGGGCACTTCTACCCTGTCCTATCGTGTCACTGAATCAGCATCGACTTGGCGGCAGTGAGAGAGAGAGAGACTGGCTCTTTCATGAAGAGTTTGTTCAAGTTTTTACAAAAAGACAGTGTCTATAAAAATAGATAAAGGCATGACAAACACACAGTAGAGAAGAATCATTAGCCAGTCATTCCCTGCGATTGCAAACTGGTGCCTACCATAAGCAACTCGTTGTTCCAGGACAAATAGGTGCATGTCTGCATTTTTTCATTTTGAACGAGTTATCTGGGTATCACAGAGACCACCAGCCCCAGCTTAGACTCCGCAGGGAGAAAACCATAAACAGTGAGCAAGGGCCAGCCCTGGCCTGAGAGCTTCCCTGCTCCCACTGATTGACTGCCTCTCCTTCACTTGCAGGATCCTGACAGCGACCGACCCCTGAACAGCCTCGGTAAGCTCCTGTCTGACTTTCTTTGTCTACAGCAGCCTCGGACCTTCAGTCCCACAGAGGGTCCAACCCATCGGGTGTGCTCCCTGTCACTACCACTAAGTGGCAAATTCTCCATCCATCCATCCATCCATCATTCAACTAATGTTTACTGAGCATTGCAAATCCCAGCATCCATTCTAAAAGCGGAGGTACCGTGGGAAACCCGGATAATAAACCTGAGAGCCCAGGAGTAGTGGTTCTCCAGCTCACTTATTCCATTACTCATTGTACCAGAATGTGGGAGCCGTATGCCAGGCCCAAGCTGAGGGTTGGGCTATAACACTCTATAAGCCCCAACCGCTCCCCTCACAGCGTTTACTGTCTAATCCTGCTGCTGAGGAAGACTTTGGGCAAGGGTGTTTTCACCTATAGAAAAGTAAATGGCCTCTTTTGCTTGATTGACAGGCGAAAGCTCTGTTCATAAAATGTTCCCCAATTTAAGAGATTTACACCGTGAGATTTTTTTTAAACCATGCATACCTATTCCTGCTACCCTGCTCGTCAACAAATGAGCAAAGAACAAATTAATATGAACCCATCAAGAAATGTTATGGCCCATCTCACTTACTTGTGACAGCTTCTTTATTTCATGGACCAGGGTCATGAATTTCTAATGATGACAAGTGGTGTCATCTTCCGCAAGTAAAACCGGGCCTGGTTGGTCCTTTGGAATTTATCTATCCGTAGCCCATGGTGTCCCCTAAAGAGCACCTGGGCTTCCAATGATTGAACCACCAGAGTCAGACTGGGTGCTACTGGGCCAAGACACACCTTTGATTTGTTCTAGACGCCCCTGGGGAAGGGAGCGTGCGAAGGAGAGAGCAGCACTGCTCAGCGGTCAAGGACAGCATTGGGGCCAGGTGACCCTTGACAGTGGCTCTAAAGGATGAGTACTATCAAAATCAGAGTGGTAGCAGGGGAGAGAAACATGGTCCTTGAGGGCTACTGTAAGGACTCAGCTCTCACTCGAAGTGAAAAGAGGCTTCAGTGGGCTCTGGCTTATCTGAGCTCTTTGGTGAGACCCTAGACAAGAGGAAGACCAGCTAGGGGGCTTGAACCACGTGGTGGAAAGTGACTGCTAGTGCAGTCAAGGATTTTGAGAAGAAGAGAGGCACAGCTGGTGGGACTTGGTAAGTGTGTAACAGCCAATTCTGGGGAAAGGAGAGTGGGGAAGCTCTATTTGCAGTGTTTGCTGCTTTGCGTGGCATGAGGATTCCAATTTAAAGCCCAATTTACCGCTACATATATAAGCTGGAAGTTGGGGGGGGAAATGTGGACAATTGGCGTGGCTCTAGCGCACCACAGACAACCCAGGAGCACTGTCTTCCTCCCTTTCTCGAGGGGCTTCATCAAGAGACGGATGGGCCATCCACTTTAGGATGAGGAGGCTTATCAGACCAGAAGAGATGAGGAGAGGAGGGAATGATGGCAAATCACATTTTACCAGCCTCTTACAGCCAGAGAGAGAGAGAGAGGTTATTTGGGAGGACAACTCCTGGTCCCAGTCTGAACTGTCCCCAGGTTTGGCTTATGAGGTTAATGAGACATGCACTTCGTCGGGGACATTCCAAAGAGAAGCAAGACAGTAGCAACTACACACACACACCCCACCCCTAGTGCTTGGGACCATGGCAGGGCCCTCTCGTGAAGAATGAAGAGATGGTCTGAAGTGCCCGTTGGCATTTCACCAGGTGTGTGGGCATAATCAGAAGCATCTGTGAGCACAAAGGTGGTTTCATCCCTAGAGCTGTGGGTGGCACACAATCACCTTGCCTCATCTGGCCCATTTCCCAGCCTTCCACTGGATGCTATCTACTCCTTTCCCTGGAATTGACCAATAGTTTTGCCCACTTACCTTCCACCCCACCCACCCACCCTCCTCCTTTGTAGCTGATGCTGATCCCCAAAAGGAAAACAGAGGTGTATGCAGTTCTGGAATTGGCTTTCCCCCAGTGGATGTTGGAAGATTAAAGGTCAGCCTTAACGAGTGTAAAATCACAGTGTCATTAGGAGACTTGGTGCACTCCCTGCCCGACGTTAACCAGTGTGTCACAATGAGGGGACTTTGGAAGATGCTAGAAAAGGAAGTCGAGACTTCAGAGCTTCTTTAGTAGTTTTCCCAAGACATGGGAAGGCTTGTCCATCCTGGGGGAACTCGCTTCCCCGCTCCGGGCCAGCAGGTGCCAAGCACGCTGACAACCGACGTCATGCCCTTTGCTTGTGAAAAACAGTAGAGTGGCACGCTTGTGATGACTTTGTGACAGGTTTTGGAGCCCTGGTGGTGCCGTCTGGTAAGCGTTGCACACTGACCTCAAAGTCAGCCATTCAAACCCACCAGGCACTCCGTAGGAGAACGATGAGGCTGTCTGCTCCCACCATGAGTTACAGTCTCAGACACGGACGGTATCTAGGGTCATTGTGAGCTGGGATCAATTCGGTGGCAGTGGGTGGGGAGTTCCTAGAGCCCAAGAAGGTGATACACCCCCAGGATTCTAAATGGACTTTGTTCCATGCCATGACAGGACACTGTCATTCCAGGCAGTGCACTGCCCAGCAGAAAGGAGAACCTCGCTGGGAGCGATGGCTACGTGCTAACCTACTGACCTACACATTAGCCGTTTAAGGCCACTCACCGGTGCCTAAGAACCCAAACTTTAAAAAGAAAAGCAAAATCACTGCCATCCTGTGGATGCCAACTCACAGAGACCATGTGGGACAGGGTAGGATTGTCCCTGTGGGTTTCCCAGGCTGTAACTCTTTACGGGCGTAGAAAGTCCTGTCTTCCCCCTCGGAGCACCTGGGGGTTTCAAACTGCTGACCATGCCGCTAGCAGCCCATCGAGTAACCACTACACCACCAGGGCTCCTGCCTAGGGAGCTACTTGTGGACACTCAGCCACTGCATGTTCCAGGAGCCCTGCTCTACGCTGACACCCACAGGGTGGCCACGTGTCTGAATTCACTCGGTGGCAACTGGATTTTTGTTGGTTTTCTGAAGTTCTGTTTTTGTTTGGTTTTCGGTCCCACAGCAAACAGAGGCTCCAACCTCCGAGTCCTTCTTTAGCGTGTCGCAGGGCTGTCATCACACCCACCCAGCTTTCCTGAGTGACCCGGCCCTGCCCCTGCCTGCCAGGGCAGGGGACTTCCAGGAAGCAGTCCCCGCACTTCCTGAGCATTTACCTTTTCGAAGCCTTTCTCACTGACCTGGCTAACAATGAAAGCGGACACTATCCCTGCATTGCCTCACTTTTAGGTAGCAGTCAGCACCCACCTGGCCTCCCCTAAATCCAAACTCTTTTGTTCCAACCCTTATCCCCCCGATGCAAGAGCCATCTCTCTAAGGATGCACTCAGTTCTCAAAGACTTCTCACTGTCTTAAGGATGCCACCCAGACTCCCCACCACTGCCTTTGCCCAGTCCTGCCCCAGCCCCATGCTTGACTCCCCTTACGCACCAGGCCCACCACGCAGCTTACCATTCTCTACCTCCGTGCCATTGCCATTGTGGGACAAGGGTGAGCCTCTGCTTCATCAACGAGTTCCAGTCCCAGAAACCCAAAGCAGCCGTCCTACTCTGTCCTACAGGGCCAGGATGGGTCAGAATTGACTCGATGGCCATGGGCTTGAGCGCCATTGACTCAGGTAGCCCAGCGTCCTCCCTCCTCCATCGCTAATTACAGACCTTCTGCTCTGCAGCCTGTTGAAGTGCCACCCCCTGGGAGCACTTTCATCCACCTACATTTGACAATGCTTCTGGTGCCACATCGATCACCTTTGGCCGGCTAAGACTGAGAGTTGGGTCCCTGTTTGCCTCTTCCCCCAATTTATAATCTCCTTAAAGACAAGGGCCACAACTGCACATCCCCTTACAGAAGGGTCGCGGGGAAGAGACAAGTCAATCAGGTGCAGTATAGCACCGATGAAACATACTACTTCCTCTAGTTCTTTAATGCTTCCTCCCCCCGCCCCCCAACTATCATGACACCAATTCTACCTTACAAATCCCACTAGATCAGAGCATGTACACTGGTACAGATAAGAGCTGGAAACACAAACAAAGGGAATCCAGGACAGATAAACCCCTCTGGACCAATAATGAAAGTAGAGATATCAGGAGGGGAGGGGGAAGGTGAGGTAGAAAGGAGGAACCGATCACAATGATCTATACATAAACCCCTCCCTGGGAGACAGACAACAGAAAAGTAGGTGAATGGAGACATCGCGGACAGTGTAAGACATGAAAAAATAATAATAATTTATAAATTATCAAGGGTTCATGAAGGAGGTGGGGCGGTGGGGAATGAGGAGCTGATACCAAGGGCTCAAGTAGAAAGAAAATATGTTGAGAATGATGATGACAACAAATGTACAAATGTGCTTGACACAATGGATGGATGGATGGATGGTGATAAAAGTTGCACGAGCCCCCAATAAAATGATTTTTTTTTAAAAAGACAGGGCCACGTTCTCAAAACTCACTGCATCAAGTCGATTCCAACTCACAGCAGCCCTTGAGGACAGGGTAGAACTGCCCTGTGGGTTTCAGAAGCAGTAACTCTCCAGGGAGTAGAGAGCCTCCTCTTGCTCTTGCAGCTGGTGGCCTCAAACTGGTAACCTTGTGGTTATCAGCCCAACATGTAATCGCTATACCACCAGGGCTCCTAAGGGCCATGTTAGGGACTCACTATTGAATTGAACTGGAAATAAAGGTCACTAGGGCACATTCACCCACCAGTATTTATTAAAACTCTACTTGATGCAAATGGATAATGTGCTTGGCTGCCAATCACCAGAGGCACCTCAGAAGAAAGAAGGGGTGATCTGCTTCTGAAAAGTCAGCCATTGAGAGCCCTGTGGGGCACTGGCTGGCTCCAACACACATCAGGTCACCCTGAGTGGGAAGTGTGGCCCCACAGCAGCTGGTTTAGCTTCCAGTATACTCACTACCTACTGGGCTGGAGGCAAGGAGCCATGGTGGGGAAAAGGTTAGGAGTTGGGCAGAATCCACTCAGTGGTGGTGAGTTTAGAGGTGTGTGTGTGTGTGTGTGTGTGTAAGAGGTCCTTGCCCTCAAGCTTATAAACTCACTTCCACGGAGTCCACTCTGACTCAGGGCGACCCTACAGGACAGGGCAGAGCTGCCCCCCGTGGGTTTTTGCCGCTGTAACTCTCTACAGAAGCAGAAAGCCTCATCTTTCTCCCTCAGAGAACTGCTGGTGGTTTCGAACTGCTGACCTCTGGGTTAGCAGCCCAACTCATGGCTCACTATGCCACCACAGCATCTCCTCAAGCTTATAGTTTAAAATGTCCAGGGAAGAGAATAAATGATAGGAGGCTGGTGTGTGCCAAAGCACTCATCCAAGCGGCCCTATGCTCTCCCCAGGGCAGGCCAAACAGGAGTGGAGCAGGCTAGGATAGGCTGAGAAGCAGGCAGCAGGGGCGGGAGGCTATTTGAGCAGCCTGGGAACCCCCGGGACAGTTCTACTCTGTCCCATAGGGTGGCCATGAGTCAGGTGGCAGTGAGTTTGGTTCGGGTTTGTATGTCAGACCTGAATCAGTGAAAGGAGGTGAGGCGCTGTGAAGCCAGCAGGAGGCTGTGGACTTTGTCAAGGACCGTCTTCCAATGACTCCTGGCTCATGTCTCCCTACAGGTGTCACCCCCCTGCGCAAACCTCGAACCTCCCTGGAGACCTTCAAAAAGGTGGGGGTCCCCATCATCGCCGCCGTGCTGAGTCTGGCCACCATCATTGTCGTCGCTGTCCTCAGTAAGTGACAGCCCCACCCTACCTTCACCCCCTCAGAACGTGGCTGGTCCCGCCCCACCTTCAGAAGCCCCCTCTCCCTGCATCCTCCCACCTCCACAGAGTGAGAGGCAGGTGATCTGCAGATGACTGCAGGAGGCGGTGAAACTGTCTACCCACGTGTGTCTCCCCACTTCGTGGAAGATAGCTCCTGGCAGGAAAGGAGGTGGCGAGCTCAGCCCCCGCCTGCCCTGCCGCAGATGCTCTTCCGCGGTGCAAACCCGCGCGGAGCATTTGCATGGCGGCCACGCCCCCGCCGCCTCCGGGCCCAGGTGCAGCGCGCGCTTGGGGAGCAGGGGCGCTTCTGCTCCTGAGCAGGCAGGGGGCGCCCAGGAGGCGCCTCTCCGCCTCTAGCGGGCTCATCCTGGTGTCGTCTTGAGTGGTGCTGTTGGCCATGTCGCTGGGGGGAAAGGCCCACCTTCTCCGCTCTCTTGCCTGCCAATGACAAAGTCCTGACCGTCCCCTCCCACCAGCTTTCCCAGCAGGGAGTAGAGTCCGGGAGACTGGAACCCACGTCCTGGTGCTGCCACGGGCTGATTATGTGACCTTGAGCTAGGCACCCTGCGTCTCTCAGCCTCATTCCCTCCGTGTGTCAAACACCAGCCTCCCTCCCAGGGCTGTGTGACAACCACGAGGGAGTGTGTGTCACAGCGGAGAACAGACGGGGCTGGGTGAATGCGGCGTCCTCCTGCTGGGCTCGTGCATTTGCCGACCAGGAACGATGGCTGGCCTTTCAGGAACCTGCGCTTGTAACCTGGGTGGCATTGCCAGCTGTGGTCACAGCCTCCTCAGAGGACACTCAGAGGTCATCTGGTCCAACTCTTGACTCCACGCCTGAGAGGGAGGCCCGGGAGGAGGAGGTGTGGCCGCAGGAGAGGTACAGGTCCCCCTCCTGAGAAGTCCTGCCTATTTCTATCTAGGACACGCAGGCCCACAACCACAGCCAGAATCCTTGAGAGCCCAGGCATAGAAGGTGCAGAAAACCTCAGGGCGGTTCATCTTGCCCCTGGGCTGCCCAGTGTGGTGGTAGCCTTCCAGCGGCATCCGATTGGCCGCCTTCAATCGTTTTATTCAGATGAATATGAAAATGAGTGTGTCTCTCTGAGTGCATACCCTGCCACGGTGGAGAGAGATGGCCAATTGTGCCCCGAGGAAGCCAGGGCAAGCACCAGGCCATAATTTAATTTCAAGTCGAGCTCTTGCTGTGCCAGCAGGCCTTGAGGGGCCCCCATGCCCTGGGCCCCCATGCCCTGGGTCCTCTCTGCACTCAGAGAAGGCAGCACAGGCTGCTATCCGGGGTTGTTGATCTATCAGGTGCCATCAAGCCGGTTCTCACTCAGCAAGAGACCCACATCCTGCAGCAGGACAGGATGCCTCACACTGTGCCATCCTCGCAATTGTCCTTGCCTCCAGCCACTGCGGGAGGCCCCTCCACTTGTGACCCGGTCTTGTCCTTGGAGGCTGGAGTGATCTTGCCTTGACCTGGTTCCTGATAGGAAGACTAGGAAATATCTAACCTCCTCCATCACTCTTGCTTCACCCAAGCCAGGAGCATCCGGGCCAACAGGTGCTGTGCCAAGAGCGAGACCCCGATGCAAAGCCGGGCTTTCGGAGATGTGCACTCACTTCCTAAGCCCCGGTCTCCTTATTTGTAACAGGGGTAAATGATACACACACACGTGCCTCCTGCTGTCAGGATTCCCTAAGGAAACGCCTGGGAAACAGGGCTAAGTGGTGGGACTTCTGGAGACGCTCCCCCCAACTCTAATGGACAGCGGAGACAGAAGCTGGGCTGGAGTGGGCAGCATTAGTCCAAGGGAGCTGAGTTAGACAAGAAGAACCGTCTTCCTGGCAGGGGTGTTTGGCTGTGAGTCCTAAGCAAGGGGGAAGAAATGAAATCCCCACCCCCTGTGAGGTGAAACACACACACACACACACACACACACACACACAGATGCATTTCCATCAACCCAAGAGGCCGAAGGAGCAACAGAATCTGAAGGCAGCAGACGGAATAAGAAACCCAAACAGAAGAGGCCTCTTAGTCACTACAAGACACTTCCAGCTCCTTACATGTTCTCACAGACCCTCTGAAGCCAATGCTAGCACCCTGTTGTGAGGGCGGGGAAACTGAGCAGCCTCAAGTCACACAGCAGGAGGCAAAAGATGGGCTGAGACTCAGGTCTTTGGGCTCCCAGTTCTCTCTGCTACCAGGATATGAGGCCAGCACCTGGGGGTAAGAAGCTCCTTAAGTTCTCCACCTTCCTGAAGGTGTGGGGCAGGTGTTATTCCCTCTGCTTTACAGATAAAGAAACCAAGGCTCGGGACCAGGCTCCTAAGGGTCAGACCTGGTCCTGGAGCCCAGAACTGCCTGTCTCCAAGCCCAGCACTAGTCTCAGGGAAGCCCAGCCTCTCCCTCCGCCAGCCACCTACTTGGTCCTCAGCCCTCTCTGCCTCTCCCTGAACTTGTCTTCTAGTTAAAGTGATCCTGGACAAGTACTATTTCCTCTGCGGGCAGCCCCTCCACTTCATCCCCCGGAGACAGGTGTGCGATGGGGAGGAGAACTGTGCCTCGGGGGAGGACGAGCAGCACTGTGTCAAGAACTACCCCGATGGGCCCCCGGTAGGAGGTGAGTCCACAGAATGAGAGGGCAAGGGGATGGGCACCACAGGAAGTCAGTTCAGGACCCCCTTGGTCCACTGGGTGGCACTGCCGGTTACATGTCAATTTCCATATCTACTGTGGGTTTGGAGAGCAAGCCTGTGTCTTGTTTACCTTTACACTCTCCAGTACTTAGTGCGTCGAAGCCACGCAGTAAACACGTGGTGGACCAAAGAGGAAAGGACAATGTCATCGAGCAGGTGTCACCAATGAGCTTGAGGGGGGCACTGGATGACCTTGGAGGGTTTCTTCCTTTCCTTGAAATCTGTTATTTCGAAGGGACTAGAAAAGAGGCTGCAAAGCCATTGAACCGGCTCGTATCGGTTCTTCTGTTCATTAGGGAAGTATTTCTGGTAGCCTCCTAGGTCTCAGGAGTGGGCTAAGTCCTTCAAAGAAACATGAGGGGTTTTAAACATAAAAACCCACGTTCCCTCTTAAGTTGGACTATCCCTACTTGAACCAGCCAGTACTTGGGCTCTAAAGAGTAAAGCTAGCCCAGAAGATGGGGATCGGGCCCTTTGAGGGACCGAGCTGAATAATGCCGTGTTTTTGCACCTTTTCAATCAGAAGCCAAATGCCTATGGGAACCAGCCATCCTACTGCCAATAATACTTCTCATTCAAACTCCCCACTCTGATTAGACACGGAGAAGGACCTAGGTCCCTGGTCAAGAAGTTTCCTCCAGCTGGGCAAATGGTGGTGGATCATGAATGCAGTGCCCAGGCATCTTATCACTACGGCCACTCTCGGAGAAGAGCAAAGGGGAGCACTATTAATAATTGTACGTGGGCCAGAGGTCAACCTGGAGCTTGTTCCCAGGATACCTGGTCACCCAAGCTACCCTTAGGAGTTTCACGGTGGTGCAAATGGTTAATGCAGTCTCTGCCCACTGGAGAGTCAGAGCTTCAAGTTCACTCTCAGAACAAAAGCCTGTCAATCCACCCCCCCCAAAAATCCACCACGGTTGCTAGGAGTCAGAATAGACTTTCTGGTTGCGTCAAAACTAGAGTCAGCCAGACAGAGTCAAATGGGAGAACGCCCCTTGATGTTGAGAGAGTTGGGGCTCCACAACACTCCCCATTCCTGGTCTCATGGTGAGCTTTTGAGAGGACTGGGGCCAATGAGTCCTGGCCCTCCAGCTGAGTCAGCTTTCTCCCCACCCAGTCCGCCTCTCCAAGGACCGATCCACCCTCCAGGTGTTAGACCCCAGCACGGGGGCCTGGGCCTACGTCTGTTATGACAACTTCACGGAAACTCTGGCCAAGACAGCCTGTGGACAGATGGGCTATAACAGGTACTCAACCCATGCTTCCAGAAGCAATACCTTGCCCCACCTCTCTCGCTCTCGCTCTCACTCTCTCCTCCTTCCTTACTTTTCCCGAAAGGTACAGGCACTGGGGTTTGGATCCCAGCATTTTCAATAACAAGTAACTAGAAGGGAATCTTCAAGAGTTTACTGGAGAAAACACCACCAATGTCACAGGGTAATTATGAGGTGCCAGTAAGCAAACACCAGGAGTCATGGTGGGTGGCGTAGTGGTTATGCACTGGGCTGTGATCCTCAAGTTTCAAAGTTTAAAACCCCAAGCCACTCCTTGGGAGAAAGATGGGGTTTTCTGCTCCCTTAAAGAGTGACGATCTCCAGAACTCACAAGGGGCAGTTCTACCCCGGGCTCTAGGGTCACTATGAGTTGGCAACTAATCATAGCAGTGAGTCTGAGAGTAAGAAAAAGTGTCCCCATCTCTCCATCCCCATGCACGCACACACACACACACACACACACACACCTCTAGTTCCTTTTTGTTTTGTTTTCACAATGAAGGGCTTTATTAGGAGAGTTAACAGATTACCACAAGCCAGGATCAGTAAACAGTTAAGATCGGGTCACTGACCCACCTTTCCTCGGCCAGTAGCTCAGCCTCTCTATCTAATGTTACATCATGTGGGGACTTGGCTTCTGCCTCCATAGGCCGGGGAGCCAGTCTGAGGAGCTCCTTTTGGGACTTTTATCTTTTTCTCTCAATCCACCCTCACTCCTTCCCGGCTTTGCAAGAATCTGCCCTGAATCTGCCCCGTGGCCCCGAACACAAAACATTATTGATTGACTCAAAGTCTCATTGGTTGAAAGTTACTTTAAGCAAACCTGTTTTCACTGGGGCCCCATAAGCAATCACATCTCTGTCAGCCAATTTCAAAAGCAGCTCCAAATCTGGAGTAGACAAAAGGGTGTATAATGATAAAAATGGAAATTCGTGTGTGTGTATGGATATGGATATGGATATGGATATAGATATAGATATAGATATAGATATAGATATATTCATTTGATCTTGGCAGAAAACCAAAATACCACAAAGTTATTATTATGTCTATTTTATAGCTAGGCTTAGGGAGAGTAAGTAGCCGGAGGTAGAGGAGTAAAATATGTGCCCAAGGGCCCCTCATCCCTGGACGTAGGACTTCTAGAACGGAGTCTGTTTCTAAGGTGGGGAATTTCCTCCTTTTCCAGGAGGCTTCCTCTATAAATGGAGGGGGAAGGGGAGCTAAGGAAGCAGATGACTCAGAAAGCCTAAATAGGAAAGAAAAGGAATCCGTGTATTTAGCTGTAGTGGGGAAGAACTTCTCTTCTCCTGAGTAGGTCCCAAACGTCTTCTGGAGTTTAAGAGATTGGGCCCAGAGACTAGAAAGAAAACACAAACTAAGCAGCTATCACGCATCGATCACGGGACTCTCTCCCACGGATCTCTCAAGCAGCCTCAAAGGCCTTCCCAGAAGAGCTCCGAGCAGCCATTGCTAGTTGACCAGATCTACTTGCCCTCTCTGCTCTTTGGCTCCCAGGAGTCTGCTGCTCTCTGCCCACCTCAGGGTGCAACTCCCAGGACCCTCTGGAGAGCACCCCCCACCCCCACCCACCCCCTTTCTTTTCTAAGAGGGCGGAGAAGGCTTGCTCCACACCTGCATGTCTTCTCCCCTCCTCCCACTGCAGTCCAGCCAACTGCAGTGTCAGCTGTCCTCGGCACTGCAGGCTGAGTCTCGGTTATGAAACCAGGGTGTCTCCAGGAGTTCTTAAGGTGACAGGCTCTTAGAATTGCTGTCCTTCCCCCACTCGCTAAGCTACCAAGCCACCTGGCCCTTGGGCTCTACAAAATCAGGATCTCATTGCTGAAGTGTGGCTAGTGTTCGTGGCAGTGATTCCTTCCACCACTGACGGTCCCTCTTCTCACGGGGTCCCAGGTTGCTCCACAATCCTCCCTCCCCCGGGAGTGGCGGCCCTTCTCATCCTCCGACCACCAGACCACAGATGGTGGTTCAGGGTGGAAGGGACCCTGGGGACCGATCATCTGGTCCACCCATCATTTTACAGAGAGGAAAACTGAGACTTAGATCAACTAGAGGAAGAATGTGACTTGCCCAAGGTCACACATCAAACTAGAATCAGAGCAAGGGGGGCGGGGCAGGGGGACCCAGGCCTTGAGGGTTCTTAAAGTGAAGCCCAGCACTCCCAGTCAGCAGCCTTCCTAAGCCCCCTGCCAGGGCCCACCAGGTAGGACTGGCATCCCTGATGGGCACGGGAAAGCATGCGAGGGAGCCGGCACCTCGGGTTGGCTGCAGCGCTGGGTGAGCGCTGGTGGGAGCATGACTGGTGGGGAAGGAAGAGAGAGGGCTGGAGGAGGCAGATTCTGAAAAAGAACAATCTGAGAACCTAAAAAGCCTCACACTCATTGCTATCGAGTCCGGTCAGACTCGTAGTGTCCCTATAGGACAGAGGAACATTGCCACTTGGGGATGCCAAGACTTTCGATCTTTTCAGGAGTAGAGAGCCTCATCTTTCTCCCTCAGAGAGGCTGGCGGCCTCAAACCTCTGACCTTGTGGTTAGTAGCTCAGAGCATAGCTGACTATGCCACAAGGCTCCTAAAAAAGTTGGCCCACCGCAATGGAGTCAGAATCACCCCCAGGGACAGTGAGGACAATCAGGGAGATGCCATTAATCAGGGAAGGCTTCCTGCAGGAGGGCAGCCTTACATCTAGGGTCAGAAAGAAAGAAGACATAGATTAGGAGAGAGAGAGATTGGGCAAGTAAGAGATATGTTTGTCTAGATTTATCTTAAAACTCGTTCAGCCCTAGCCTCTCCCCTTTGGCGCTATCGAAAAAGTAGCCCCACTACTAAATTGGGGGGAAATGCTTTGTTTGGAGGTCCCTGGAAGATGCTCTCTCCAGCTTCCTCCAATGTGAGGAGAGAGATCACGCGGGTCCCTTTGCCTTCTCGTCTTGCCTCCCCCCCCCACCCCTGTGCACACACCCTGTGAACAAGAGAGATTGTGGGAACAAAGTGTGAGTGCCATTTAAAATAGGGAAAGAGCTGGGTGTTAGGAATGAGGATCCCCTACCATTGTTCCAGAAATCTGGCCTCTGGGCAAGGCTTTCCCCACCCGAGAAAACAAGGCTGCGGCAGCAATGTGCCTGAAGCTAAGTCCTGAGATGCCCTTTATCATCTAACAAACCAGATGGCACTCCATCACTGCCCCTGCCCTGCCAGCCCCCACCAGGGGCTCTCTTCTAGGAGTGGAGGCTACTCCCCCACAGTCTCACGCTGCTCTCCGCGCTCACAACGCTCTCTTCCTCCCAATCTGAGCAGCGAACCCACCTTTCGAGCAGTGGTGATGGAGCCAGCCCAGGATCTGGAAGTCGCTGAAGTCACAGAAAACGGCCAGGAACTTCGTGTGCAGAACTCGAGTGGGTAAGTTAGAGGGTACACACCTTCTGGCCTACAAAAAGAGCTACGGCTGGGCGCTGCTATGAGGACTGCAGCCCGGCGCTCCCCTGAACAGACTGGCAGCAAAAGGAAAGTAAGTCAGGCAACAGGGAGAACTCCTCGCCAGGCAGACCATTAAACCCTGAGAGCTACAGAATCACATTTCAGAGAGGTCTCCTAATGGACAGCTGTCCAGGGCGATGGAGCAAGGATGCAGATGAAGTGACCTTCCATCAGTCTGAGGATAAAACCGTATGCTTTCTCCGGCGAGTTTAGATTCCTAATAAAGCCAGCAGGCAAGGTTCCAGAGGCCACTTCGTCCTTCCCTGCCACTTGTCCAGGCCAGAGGAAGGCCTCCTCACGTTCCCAGCTCGCCAGGGAAAGATATGTCCGGCCTTCGTCAATGACCTGTTCACAGACCTCACGGCCCTGCTCAGAGCACGGCATCTAAGCAGACTCTATCGCACCGCAGCCCAGCAGCTCAGAGAGGATGCCGGCTTCTTAGCATTCCAAGATATTGCTGAGGGCTGCTTATTCATCAAAGAGGAAACCTTGCAAAGAACAGGGCTGGTGGCCGAATGAGCATTTGCCTAGAATCCCATCGAGATCCCGTTGTTCCTCCTCTGGGCATGTCTGCACCGCAGTGCAGGAGACCATTCGAAGTTGGTTCTCTCCCATCTTGGGCTGCCAGGAGCCAAGAGTGGGCTGTTGACTCCGAGTATTTTGAATTGCTTTGACCTGGGCGTGGCTGCAGTTTCTATGCAGCCACGACTCTTCCGGTCCCAAATTTCCCAGATGGTCCCGAGAGGACCTCGATGCAATAGTGTCCATAACACCCAAATCCCTCCTCCCAGTCATGGAAGAAGCAGAAAACACAGGGCCACTGCGTCTGTCTCTCTTTCCAGACCATGTCTCTCAGGCTCCCTGGTCTCCCTGAATTGTCTTGGTGAGTATGCCCCCTCTGAGGATCTGGGCCCTTGGCCAGCGATGAGCAGGGAGGGAGAAAGGCCTCCACCCTCATCCTTCAGTCTCTCAGACGCCACCTCCCTCTGTGTTGATCTACCATGCCTGCTTTGGGGATCTGTGAGTGTATTAGTCTGGGTACTTTGGAGAAACAAATCCACAGCAACTCATGTATAAGAGAGAGTTTTATGTAAAGAAAATGTGCATCACGAAAACATCCCAACCCAATGCTGCCCAAGCCCACAAGTCCAACATTAACCCATTAACCCAACACCAGTCCACAAAGTCCTCCACCTCACAAAACAGAGGCAATGATGCCGACTGCAGGAGGAAAGCTGAGTCAGTGAACGAACAAGCATCTCAGCACTAGCAGGGGTCTCCACACGGCTGCTCCAGCACCCAGGGCTGCATCGGGATAGGTCCATGTAGCTTTTCCTTGGGGATGTCTTGTAGGAAGTCAATCTTGCAAGCTGAAGCAGGGAACTGCTAAGGCAGCTGCACCTGGTGCAACCACCACAAAGCAAGAGACCCGAGAACTAGAAAGGCGAGGCTCACCACCCATTTATCCCTCCGCCTTTCAATTAGCCCCACATGTGATTATTGGCCAGGTTGGCACAATTAACTAACTCAGTGAGGTTGATGATGCTTCAGGTGGTTCACGTTAAGGACGCCCTCCTGCCATTGACTGGCACAAAGCCTGAGCAGAAACCTAGAAGAAGGTCTCTTTCTTCGGGGAGAAAGATCGAGAACCCTGGGAAGGGTGATACTCTCTCCGACTCCCTCCTCAACCCGAGTCAGGGCCCTCGTAGACCTCCTTTGTCACAATCAGGTCACTTATCCAAGGTCAGATGCTCCACCTTCAATTTATCAAAAATTTACGAAAGAGTTAGAACATGTCGAAGGCTGCCAGGTGTGAGCTGAAGGTAGAAGATGCCAGTCAAGTAGAGGAGTTGGCTGCTACTCTCTCAAGGACTGGTGGCTGGACCAAGAGCAATGCAGGGGGGCATGTGGGAAGTGCCAGGCTGGGTTGCAAGCTCAAGGGGAAGATTGCAGGGACACCTGGGTCGCAGCCCTACTGACTCCCAGTGTGACTGGAGTAGTTCACCTAGCCTCTCTGAAGTTCATTTTCCAAAGCGATCCATTAGTCCACCAATCAATGGAGACCTCAGGAGGTCAGAAGGGAACAACAGAACCCATGGACCTTGAGTAAGAAGAGATCCGAGGCCAGGTAGGATGGACAGCATTCGGAGAGCAAGACCATCGATGCTGACTTTGCAACTTAGCAGAAGGAATGCTTCCCTGTTGGATCCTCACACTTCATCGTGAGCCCCACTGTACTAGTGGGTGGGGTCTGACACATGATGGGCAGCCAATGAATGAATGAATGATCATGTCATCTGAACATCACTGAGCAGCACCAAAGTCACTGAAATGCTACACAAGTCACAGATACTCCCTTGAGGAGCCCCCAGTCTTACGGGGAAGACAGGGCCTTCTGTACGCATGGCCACCACAAAGGGCCGGCCAACAACGGGCAGGCGATGGCCAGGCCAAGGGCAGACTGGTTGCATGACCTGCAAGGAGACACTAAGCCGTGAGGAGGAATCCGTAGGCTTCAGGAGGGAAGGGACTATGCCTGTCTGCTTATCTGGCTCACCCCTCTAGCATCCTAGCCTGTGTCCCGGAGACCACTAGGCCCTCCATGCAAAGCTGTTGAATTGGTTAATGATTGAGCTAAACCGGGGCGGGATGGCAGTACCTTCTTGAGCAAAACCAGAAGGGCTTTTGGGAGGAGCTACAAGTGTATGCATTTGACTAGACAGAGACTTTGTATAAGGACAGCAAGAAGCTGCGAGGAACAGAAGCTTAAACTCAACTCTACAAGCAAGCCTACCAAGGGGCTTTGGCAAGAGAGTGAGGGGACATGTTGAACGCAGTGTTAGAAATTAGAAATTGAAAAGCCTCTGTCTGGTTTGATGCCAGGCCCAGAAGTTAGGGTGGTGGCCTTCCCTCTGACAGCAGCCGCTGCAGCGGTGCCTTCCAGAGAGTGGGGGTGGGGTAGGGAGATAGGGTTGACAGGACAAGCCAGGACAAGGAGAAGACAAGCTATCAGACTGGGAAAGTCATGCATCACGAAGGGAGGGGCTTGGGGAAAGGTGAAGCCAGGGATGGAGAGAACCAGTTTTGGAGGCTTTCTTGTGGGCATCTGTTCACTGTTACTCAGCACAGGCAGCTGGGGACATTCCACCTGGGCAGATTTTCATCATTCTGCATCACTGTTTGGTTTGAAGGTCACGAATTCCCAGCATAATAGTCACGCCCGTGTTCACAAGCTGAACGCCTACACACATCCAAAGCCAAAGCCAGAAAGAAGGCAGGAAGCTTTGGGGAGACTGTGGTCTGGGGCAGCGGGCACCTCCCTGTGAATAATGCAAAAGTGGCCTCCCCCACACTCCTGGAACACTCACCCGGGCCTCCTCGCTCAGGATAGACATTGAGCTCCAAGGGGAGGCAACCTTAACCCCTACGAGCCTGACTTCTGGCTTTCTCCCTCCTCCCCACCGAGCCCAGCCTGTGGGGAGAGTCTGAAGGCCCCTCGGGTGGTGGGCGGGCAGAAGGCCTCTGTGGATTCTTGGCCTTGGCAGGTCAGCGTCCAGCACAACAAACAGCACATCTGTGGAGGGAGCATCCTGGACCACCGCTGGATCCTCACAGCAGCCCACTGCTTCAGGTATGGCCCAAGGTGGCGAAGTGACCTTGAGGGATCAAAGGCATGAAGGGGTTGTAGTGACTCAGCCCCTGTCTTTGAACGTGTCAGATGGCCTCATCCGATGATATTGTCCTCCTAGAAGCCATGTGCTAGAGTTTGACCGCCCCAATAAGGCACTGGATGGAATCTCCTTCACTAGGCAGTGGTGCTCTATATAGAGTGCTGGTCCCCCAGCTTGATTACTGCCTGGTGAGGACCTATCAGATGCCCAGTCTCTACCTCCACTCAACTGCCCCCATCGCATATAGGCAAGCTGTTACCTAGAACCTTCAACAAAATGCTCCCAGGGTATAGAGTCACTGCAACTCTCTTCTTATACCTAGAAACTTAAAAAAGCCACAATAATAATTATAGCTTCTCTACAGACAGATGGAACTTTCTATGTCTCTAGGGAAAATCCACACCTAAGCCCTCTTCATTTTCACTCATTCACTCAACGTACTAGGGACGAAGCACCAGGCCACTGGTTCCAAACCCTTCCAGATAATCTAACAAAATCCACGAAACTCTTGCTTAGAAAAGTGCTCTTGTACACAAAGGAGTGTCAACGGACAGGAGAAAAGACGGACTGTGCAAGTACATACCCTGTTTCCCTGAAAGTAAGACCTCCCCCGAAAATAAGACCTACTTGCAGTTTTTCCTCTCGCTGAAATATAAGGCATCCCCCCGAAAATAAGACCTCCCCGAAAATAAGACACACACCCCGAAGCTATTGGACCGTAGCAGCACCAGCTCACTGTTGGCCGCAGCGCAGCCGGAGCAGACAGGAAGTGTGAGGTCTCTTTTAATAAAACAATAAACAATAAATGTGTACCGTATTCTTCTTCATGGAAAAATAACACATCCCCTGAAAATAAGACCTAGCACATCTTTGGGAGCAAAAATTAATATAAGACACTGTCTTATTTTCGGGGAAACAGGGTAGCAACCAACCAGCCACTGGCCTCCAGCCCGTTCGAGCTCAAAGCCACCCTGTGGTGCAGAGTGGAACTACTCCACCGGGTGTCTGAGGTTGGAGGTTTATATAGGTTTGAACTGCTGAGCCTGCAGTTAGCAGTCCCATGCGTAAAGAGTAAACAGCAAGCTGCCAGGGCTCCTTTTTCAAGACAAGCACCACGTGAGCCATGCAGACAATAAACAGTCGTGCGGGCGTGAGGGCAGACTGTCAGTGCCAGCGGCTCTATTCTTTGGAGGTTGGGAGTAGCGCTTAGCCCAGCTCTCCAGCTGAATGCTGCCTGGGGTAGTTATGACTGGGGAAGAACAGTCAAAGCCCCCTGTTGAGCTTGGCTTTGGGTAGGTTCTCCTCAGACTGCCCTTTCCCCACCATTCCCTGCCACCACTACCATGTTGCCTCCTACGGCTGGCACACCCAGCACTGGAATTGGCAGAGCCGGGGGGACTCAGCATTCAGCATACTTAGCTCAGGTCTGAACTCAGCTCTTCTCTGGTCCCAGGAAACACCTGGATGTGTCCAATTGGAAGGTGAGGGTCGGCTCAGACAAATTGGGCAGCTTCCCATCCCTGCCTGTGGCCAAAATCTTCATCATTGAGTTCAACACCATGTACCCCAAAGAAAAGGACATTGCTCTCGTGAAGCTGCAGTCCTCGCTCACGCTCTCAGGTGAGAGATGGTACTTGGGATTGCCCGGTCCCTTCCACTCCGTCACTACCTTGCTAAGTGGCGTTGAACACCCACTCCCCCTACTCAAAGCCTCGGGTTTCCCATTTGTTTCCAACAATATTTGTTTCCAATACATTAGCCTAACCTCACTGACAGCCATGGCCAGTTAACACGCCATGCCATCCCCCACCGAGACGGGTCTGTTTTCTCCATTTAGAGCACTTCAAGTAAGCGGCAAATGGATCCAAGCAGCAAACTCCAAGATCCCTTGGAGTTTCAAGAGACTTAAAAGACCATCTAACCCATTCCCACCCCAACCAACGCCCAGGAACTTGCACAGTCCTTCGCCAAGGAGTCCCTGCGCTCCTGTTGGCGCTCTCCGGTGGTAGAGAGCAGGGAGGTCAGAGAGTCTGCGAGCAGTTATAGTAGATGACTTATATTCAGCATAATTTAGAACAGCATTTCTAACTGTGGACATTGGTCCCTTGGGGTAAAGAGGGTGTCCACCGTCAAGTAAGTTTGAGAAACATTTCCATACTGTATTTCTCTCCCTGGAGAGTCATAGGCACATCCGAATACTAAAATATACAAAAGGGGTTTTCAAAGAGTGTTTTATTGTGTTTAATGAACATTTTTTAAAAACTGAATTGACTGCAGAACCCTTCTATTATCAGACTGGGGACCACTTCTATTAAGCTCCCATGGGACTAGTGTTATGTAGAGCCTGGTATGAATCTTTTCAGATCTACTCATCTGACCCTCCCAAATCCCTGGGTCTCCCTCTTCTTTTCCATTCCTGGCAGGTACAGTCAGGCCCATCTGCCTGCCCTTCTCTGATGAAGAGCTCACGCCAGCCACCCCGCTCTGGGTTATCGGATGGGGCTTTACAGAACAGAATGGAGGTAAGTAATTCTTGGGCTTAGAACCATAGGGCAGGAGGAAGGAGGGCCATCCTTCCCCAAAACTCACCCTGAAGGTCCAAGCACCAGGGTGTCAAACAAAAATCGAAATACTTTGACACCAAGAGAAATTGCCTGGGTTGGAGGTTAAAGGTAGGAGGTTGGAGGTTAAAGGTAGGAGGTTGGAGGTTAAAGGTAGAAATGGGAATGTGAGTGTGTTCTCAACCTCCCAGGGAAGATGTCTGACGCGCTGCTGCAGGCATCCGTTCAGGTCATTGACAGCACTCGGTGCAACGCAGAGGATGCCTACCAGGGGGAAGTCACAGAGAAGATGCTGTGTGCAGGCATCCTGGAAGGCGGCGTGGACACCTGCCAGGTGATTGTGGAATCCCATGGCTAGGGATGTGGCCCTTGGTGAGACCAGAAAGCTCTGATGCTGCATATCCCACATGAAGCCATGCATATGGTGGACACTCAATGTGGAATAAAAGAAGAGAAGAAAGAAAGCTGAGGATATAAGGATGGATGGATGGATGATGGATGGATGGATGGATGGATGGATGGACAGACGGATGGATGGATCATAGAAAACAGCAGAAGGGTTTTAAAGGTGGATTTCCTACACAAAGATGACATTACTCACTCTATTCACCCTCTGTCCCATCATCTGTAGGAGGATGAGTCCCTCAAGGAGGCTTCTCTAGCTCTGTCTTCTCTGTGGCTGTCCCCAAGCTGCTGAACTAAGCTAGAGAGAGCCCATCTCATGCTGTCCAAACTCTGATGCAGGACACCTCACTCCATCCTCACCGACCATCAGGACTACTTAGCAATCCCTTTCTCTAGCCTCACTCCCCACCCCAGGGCCTCCTGAGTGTGTTCGATTCACCTGAATCCCTTTAACCCTGACTGCTGTCTTCAGGCAAGAGGTGGCTGATAGCTAGCCAGGATCATGCTGGGTTTGGGGGATACCGCCTGCCCGCAGGGAGTTCCCTTTCATAGGGGGCAGTGGTGATGTATAAACAAGCGGTTGGTCAATCTGGTCCTAAGGGAGGAAATCCAGACCCAAGAGCTGTGGAATGTGGTAGGACAGAAAGCCAAGTCAGTGTACTTCTCACATCTGACATGTTTTTGTCTATCCAATAGCATGCTTGGTTAATATCTTTCTCTTCCCATTTAGTTCTAAGCTCCCTGATTACAGGGATCTTTGGTTTTTAACCTGAATTGGATTTAATGACCAAGAACAGGGCCTGGCACAAAATAGGCACTCAGCAAGGTCAGCAAGTGGTTAAATCTATTTGGGAAATACTACGTTAGACAGAGATCATCGGTTTTCTTGCTGCGGGACCCACTGGACAAAGACAAAGCATGGTTGCCACCACGTCCGTTCAGCTCATAGCAACCCTCGAGGACAGAGGACAATTGCCCGTGGGGTTTCCCAGGCTGTCCCTCTTGAAAGAAGTAGGCTGCCACATCTTTCTCCCACAGACAGAGAGCGGTGGTTCTGAACCATCAACCTCTGTCGGCTCCCTAATTCTTAACCACTGCACTAACAGGCTCCTCGCCCCTCCCCTCAGAGCCGTCTGTTTGCTGAGCACACTGTGAATCTCCACGAGAAGTCGAGCAATATTTCCACGACCTGCTTGACCACAGACAGGACCCAAAGGAAGGGTGGTGCAGTCTGCAGGGATAGCATGAGCAAAGGAGATGAGGGCAGGTCAGGGGAGACCCCTGTTCCTGGGAACTGTCTGGGGCAGATGGGCCAGTTTAGGTGGGGAGGGGAAGGAGAAGCCCACCTCCCTACTTATCCTCCCAGCGGTCTTTGTTCCGGCTTCTCACAGGGTGACAGCGGAGGGCCCCTGATGTACCAGTCTGACCAGTGGCAAGTGGTGGGCATTGTGAGCTGGGGTCACGGCTGTGGGGGGCCCAGCACTCCAGGAGTCTACACAAAAGTCACAGCCTACCTCAACTGGATCTACACTGTCCGGAAGGTGCGTGTGCCTGTCCCACCTGTGGTGCCCCCCTCTCCCCTGAGGGACCTCACCATCCTTACCGTTTAACTTGAAAGACTCTCAAACAACCCTATACACTCAAATAATCCCCCTCCCAGCAAGTGACAGCTCAAGATCCCACCTTATTAAAGGCTGAAATTCCTCAGGTGACAGACCCCTGCTAAACACAGTGACCTTAGCGTGTGGGGCTCTCTGCACTGGCAGAGAGTGGGGCGAGCAGATCCTTTGTGGAGAGGAGTTTCAGACACAGAGGAGAGTGGCTTACGCGACTTCCAAGGCCCTCGTACAGAGAGAAGCAAAAAGCTTCAGCCAGGAGAGTAGGTTTGCCAGGTTGCCCCATTTCCCAAGACCCTCCAGCTCCTGATCATCCGACTTTCTCTTTGACGGTCTCTTTTCTTCCAGGCTGAGCTGTGATGCTGCTGCTCCTCTTTGGGGCCGGGGGCGCTTCCTCCTTGCCCAGCCTGGCCCGCCTGGGGATCCCACGGGAGTTGGACACAGAGCAGGAGCCCCCTTGGGCACACCTCTGCACCCATAGCCCCAGCATCTCTCTGACTAGCAAAGGGCCTTCGTGGCTGGAAGACATCCTCTTGCCCAGCATACACTGCAAGGCAGTGAGCAGCCCTAGCTCAGCCACTTTCTGGTCTTCCTAGCATTCAGGGAAAAGATGCAGCTTATGGAATATACCGCCTCCCGGCCAGAGCCTCAAAAGACATAGCTGTGTTGAAAAGGAACTTCCCACCATGCTGAATGGAGGTGGGTTCCGGGGTGGGAGTCCAGATCGCTGGGCCTGGAATGGAGAGAAAAGGTCGTAGCCTGATATCTCCTTCTCGCTGCTGCCCAAGCCCACCAGAATGAGTACCCAAAGCATACTATCCTGCTGACGATGAGACTGCTGTTATCATTGTTGCTTCGAAGGCCGCTATTATTAAACATGATGCCATTGGTATAACATGGTTGCATTACTTGGTAAGAACGGGGCTGGGGCTCTTGAACTCTGACCTTTGTTGTTCCGTCTGGATAGGAGAAAGAAGGTCCGAGGGAGGCAACTCTTCCTCAAATGGAAGCTGGGGAAAGGGAAAGTAAGGAGAACAGAGCGGGTAAGTGGGGCACCAGTGAGCTCGGGGCTGGGGACCCAGAGTGAAGAAGTCTCATCCCACTGCCTCCCCCTACCTCCTCTGCCTGTGACACCAGCCACGATCCACCGATAGCCTGTGTGCTGCGAGGGAAAGGATTTGGTCAATTTAGGGGGACCCTAAGGAGCCCTGGTGGCTCATGGTTACAGCTCTCTACCGCGAGCTAAAAGATTGGTGGTTCTAGCCCACCAGCTGATTCAACAGGGAAAGGTGCAACCACTGTGTCTGTAAAGACATATCGACTTGGAGGCCCTATGGGGGCGTTTCTACTCTGTCCTATAAAGTCCGTTGTGATGCACAGTGACCCTATAGGACACAGTAAAACTGGCTCTGTGGGTTTCTGAGGCTGAAAATCTTCAAGGGAAAGCTTCATCTTTCTCTCACAGAGCACTGTGCCTTCAAACCAGTGACCTTGACGTTAGCAGCCCGACTTGTAACACACCCCACAATGCCACCAAGCCTCCTTGTAGGGTCACTAACATGGACTCAACAGCCACATTGGCCGAAAAGAGATCTTGCATGTCTGAGCCCTAACTTCTTCCTTGTCGGTCAAAAGAGGTTTATCATTCTCCAGCTATGAGGCAAGCCCCTAAGCTGGGCTCTGGGAACATCAGCAGGAGTGAGTTCCTGCACTGCGAAGGATCGGCGAGCCCCGCCCCGTAGACGTCTGCTGGCAGTCACACAGAGGCCTGGCATGAGGACCGTCTCTCTCGAGGGGAATCAGATGGGAGTTAAAATACACTTGCTGCCTTACTGGGCTCTTAGGAGATGATAGATATTCTCACAAGCCAACGCCGAAAAACAAAACTCCAAAATAAAGTAAAACCATCAGATCCATGAGCTGAAACAAAGGTTGAGAACCAACTAGAAGCAAAAAGCGAGCTAAGGTGTTGGGTTGGTCTAGGGTCAAAGCCCTAGTTGGAGGCTGAGAGAATCCCAGATGCGATGCAGGTGGAGGGAATGAACTTACGGCTCGCGTGGGAAGCGTGGAGAGCCGAAAAGGTAAATGTGGTCTCAGGTGGCAGGTCTTATGAAGGAAAACATCCCTAATATAGATCCCAAAGGATTCCCAGACAAAAGTCCTCAAAATATGAGCCCACAACAAAAACTAGCAAAGATGGCAGGGGGGGAAGAAATCATGAGTCGGCATCATCAGAAGTGACAGGTTTACATCTGAGGAGTATTTTCTATTTCTTTAAATGAGTTTTCACATCAGCTGTCCCCCACGGTGACAGACCAAAAGGGAGAGAGAGAGCAAGCTTTGGTGGACCCCGAGAAATTTAGGTGCTGGAGGGATCAGATAATTGTCATAATGACTAGTTAATGTTAGGGGTCACCAAGTGGATTCTGACTCGTGGTGAGCGCAGGACTAAACACTGCCCCATTCTCCACCGGCTCACCATCCTCGCTGTACTTGAGCCCACGGTTGCAGCCACTGTGGCCAGTCCGGGTCTCCCCCTTCCAATGGCCATCGACTTTACCAAGCAGGCGTGCTTCTCCAAGGACCGGTCTCTCCAAAACTATGTCCCAGTGTGTGAGATGAAATCTCCCCATCCTCTCTTTGAAGGAGCATTCTGGTTGTGCTGCTTCCAAAATAGATTCCGTCCTCTGGGAATCCACAGTATATTTAAGATTCTCCATTAAACCGTCTTTCAAAGACAGCAAATCTTTTCCAGCCGTTCAGGTTCTTTATGAGAGAGCCCTGGTAGCACAGTGGGTCATGCCTTGGACGGCTCACAGCAAGGTCAGTGGTTCGCCTCTGACAGTCACTCTGTGGGAGAAAGACGAGGCTCTCTGCACTCATCAAGTGCCACAGCCTCAGAAACACAGAGGCAGGTCTACGCAGTCCCCCAGGGTGCTCTGAGTCAGAATCAAGTCCTTGGCAGTGGGCTTGGGTGTTGTGTTTGTCTTCAGAGTGACATCTGTGCTTTTGAGCACTTTCAAGAAGCCCTTTGCAACAGACTTGCGCAATGCAGCGTGTGGTTTGAGTTCCTGACTGTTGCTTGGGGGGCATTGATGGTGGATCCAAATAAAGTGAAACCCTTGAGAACAGCGAGCTTTTCTCATGAATCATGATGGTCCGTCTCGTGAGAACGTTTGCTTTCTTTATGCTGAGGCAGAGTTCCTCCTAGAGGCAATGCTGTCTTTGATCTCCGTGCTTCAAGTCCTGTTTGCTTTCAGCAAGAAAGGTTGCGTCATCCGCAAATGGTAGATTGTTTTTTAATCTTCCTCCAACCCCGGTGCTGTATGACCCTTCCTATTCCTCAAATTAGTTGTGCCGCATATTTACTAATAGTCACAGGCATCTCTGTGTTTCAGACACCGTTCCAAGGACTTCATCACACCTTGATTCATTTAATCCTCACCAACCCATGCTGTGTGTGCTGATACCATCCTCACTGGGCAGGTAGCGAGGAGATTAAGTGCCTTGCTTGACAGCTTGAAGTTATAAATTAGTCATTATAAATTAGCCTGACATTGAACGTGAGCTGTCGGGCTCCAGAGTTCACGCTGTAAAGCACCAACATTATAGGTAATTTCTATATGAAAAGTAAAAAGAACACTTTAATTGACTCATTTCATAACCAAACAAAACTTATCAGGCAGATTTTTTTTAAAAACAACAGAATTCTTGGAAATAAAAATTACAATTATTAAACTGAGAAACCGAATGGCTGCTGTAAGCATCCCTTAAGATAGAGATAAAAAGAGAATTCATGAACTGGAAGATACCTTGAAGAAGTCACTCAGCTTGCAGGAGGAAGAGACAGGAGGAGATACAGAAAGCAATGAACGATGGAGACCAGAATGAGGGCTAACATTTCCAGTGAGTCCCAGAAGAGACCAGGGATGAGCGCCAGTGTCCTGGGAGTTGCTGCTGTGAGTGTTAGCTGCCACTCAGTCAGCCTGTGGCTCATAGTGGCCCCGAAGGTTACAGAGCAGAACCACGCCATGGGATTTTCTGACCTGCAATCTGTATGGAAGCACGTAGCCGGGACGTATTTCCACGGAGCTACTAGATGGATTCAAGCTGCCTACCTTTCCTTTAAGGTGACCAGACGTCCTGCTTTTGGCGGGACAGTCCCGATTTTTAACAATTTTTCCAGCGTCCCACGGCATTTTTTTTAAAGTCCCGGTTTTTTGAAAGAATGCATGACAAGTTAGGGTATACAGTTTTCAGCTGCCATGTGGCTATTTCACCAGGATATGAGTTTTATCAATGGTGTCCCGCTTTACCAAGGTTAAAATCTGGTCACCTTATCCTTATCAGTCAACTGCAAACCACTTAAGCCACCCAAACCAGAGATCACAGCTGAAAATGCTCTAGAGACGGATGGAAATAATTCGTCCACAGATGGAGCATATCATGCCACCCTAGGTTGTGCCAAACTGCAAGACGCAAAACTGAGAGACACTCAGGACCCTCCGAAGACCACACCAGCACTCCCTGCCATCGAGTGGATTCCAGCTCATAGCGGCCCAACAGGACAGGGCAGAACTGCCCCAGGGGTTCCAGGACTCGACCTCTTCTTTCATGGGTGTAGAAAACAGTTTCCCCCTTGAAAAGCTACTCTACCCAGATTGAGGGCAGAGAATTTTCCACCTCAATAAAGACGCTGGAAGATGATGGAACTGGATCTTCCTAGTACTGGGAAATGGTAACAGTCAAATCAAGAAATGTGAACCTTACAAAATTATCTTTTTTAGAATAAAGACATTTTCAGAGAAACAAAATGTGAAAATCCACCACCACCAGACTTTCTCTAAAGAGATCCAGGAAGCAGAGATCTGAGGAATGAGGGAAATGATTCTGGAGGGAAATGATCCTCGAAGAACTGACAGGCAAGAGGGAATCGAGCTAAGCAATTATTTACAAAAGCATAGATAAATCTAAGCAAACTTTGTCCACATAGATAACACTGCGGATGAATTTTAAAAGCTTAGCTAAAAATAAAAATCATAACTATGACCTGTAATTCAAGAGGGAATATTGGAGTCAAAGAATCCTACAGTTCTTACATAATTCAAAAATGAGGTTATACTATTGATTAAAGTTATGTTACATGAAGTACATGTAGCACAAACTACATAGGCAGAAGTGTAACCAACCTCCAAAAGAATAGAAACAGCATGTCCAATTTTCAAACAGCAGGAAGAAAAAATAAGTAAAGGAAAAACAAACAAAAAATCAAACAACCTCAAATATATCTGTAGATATAGATGCCGACTGCAGGAGGAAAGCCGAATCAGTGAACCTGTAAGCATCTGAGTGCTGGCAGGGTCTGCACACAGCTGCTCCAGCACCCAGGGCTGCATCGGGGTAGGTCCATGAGGCTTCTCCTTGGGGAT